CTCCTTGTCCTGCCTTCAGGCGCTTTGGAAAATAGCTTGACTCCCTCTTCTTTGTGGCAGCCCCTGAGATATTGGAACACTGCTATCATGTCCCCCCTCGTCCTTCTCTTTGTTAAACTAGACATACCCAATTCCAGCAACCGTTCCTTATATGTTTTAGCCTCCAGTCCCCTAATCATCTTTGTTGCTCTTCTCTGCATTCTTTCTAGAGTCTCAACATCTTTTTTACATCATGGTGACCAAAACTGGATGCAGTATTCCAAGTGTGGCCCTACCAAGGCATTGTAAAGTGGTATTAATACTTCACGTGATCTTGATTCTATCCCTCTGTTAATGCAGCCCAGCACTGAGTTGGCTTTTTTGGCAGCTGCAGCCCCCTGCTGGCTCATATTTAAATGATTGTCCACTAGGACTCCAAGATCCCTCTCACAGTTACTACCATTGAGCAAGGTACCCCCTATACTATACCTACCTTAGAATAAAGACAAGTAAGGATAAAAATCATGGTGGCTGTTTAGAAAATGTTTGCCTGAACTATGGTATTCGAAATCGAGGTCATCCAATGGAGCTGAATGGTGGGAAGGTTTGCACTCGCTGCTGTGGGTGGCCTTTCCACAGGCATGTGTTGGCTATTGTGCAGGAACACTGGCCTTGCAGTGCCATCGAACTGAGTCAACGCAGCTCTTCAGTGTTCTGACCTAGCAACACGCTGGGCTAGTTTAAGCCAAGAAATAAGGGCTTCCAGTTTCTTATTTATGTTCACACCACAGAATGAGCAGATAAGAACTTGAGGCTTTTCAAAACATATTCTGGTACTATTGAACTACGGTTTGCTGTTAGGCTTGAAAACAACTTCTCTGTTTTAAATCGTACAGACTGTACAGGTTACATCAGCCTTAAATAATGACCAAAACTTCTCTGGGTTACCATCTCATAATTTTCAGCAGATTAGGAAATTCAAAGAAAAAAGATACTGTCTTGTTTTAATGGATGCTTAAATGTGGAATGGGTAGTTTTAGCAGGCTAGAAGCCCAGATGAGATGTAAGGCAATTGGAGGTTTTATCCAGTGATATGTACCCTCACGCGTGAAAGAAACAGCATGTTTTTTTCCAGCTGCACTACAACCACTGAGGAGAAAAAACTGAAAACCTCTATTAATTATCTCATCCTTCTTTGGAAATGATCCTTTTCCTGAATAGCCCAGAAATTCTCTGGGTGAAAGCATTTCTAGATATGGCAAGTGGTAATATGATGGAAGATGTGGGTTTAAGACTTACATCAGAGTACATCAAAGTATCTGCAGGTGAGTTGCCCACTTTTGTGTTGAGTCCATGAAGACTGAATCTTTTTTTTCCTATTAGATTTCAGGTTAAGAAATGAAATTATTGCTATAGTAGTCTTGAAGTATCTGATCTCTTTTAATTTTGGATGGGAAAAGACAGTGATGTTTTAACGTTAGTAAGTAGACACTCTGAATCAGCTACTTGTAACCTAAAACAGCTTACTGTCGCTCATTATTTTTGTCCCCTACCAAACAAGCATTTACAAATCACTGGCTGCATTCACATTTTGTACTGTAAAATTATAATTTAGTCTATCTTAATTTTTGCTCAGTATATAGCGTGAACTGAACAACTGTGGTCTGTAAACCATGGTTTATGGCTCAGAGTTGTGTAAATCAGGCTACTGTAATTTCTTTAAAAATAAGGTCTAAAAGCATGGCTTAGCACAGTGGTGGTGAACCTATGGCACGCGTACCAGAGGTGGCACTCAGAGCCCCCTCTATGGGCACCTGTGCCGCCGCTGCCAGCGGCTTGCGCAGGTCCATTAGGCCGCCGCCTAGAGCAGCAGCCCCACCCAGCACAAAGGAGGCAAAGCGGCCAGCTAGCAAGCTCGAGTAGAGGTGGTAGAGCAGTGTTTCTCAACCTTGACAATTTTAAGGCATGTGGACTTCAACTCCCAGAATTCCACAGCCAGCAATGGGAGTTGAAGTCCACATGCCTTAAAATTGTCAAGGTTGAGAAACACTGTGGTAGAGCATGCCCACACCCAGCAAGCCAAAGGCCACCCTGAGCAGGGAAAGCCAGATCCCCATCAGTGCCATGGCCCCCCCAGTCCCAGCTAGGATTGCATGCCTCCCCTCATCTATGCTGGGCCTCCTGCCCACCGCCCCACCCGCCAGAGACCCCCTGGATCTCCCCCAACCCTGCCTGGCCCCCACAGGCATCCCCTCCATGAGCAACATCGAGGTGGCCCTGCCCACTCTAGCCATGCTCACCCAGCCTGCCGTGACAATCGCAGCCATGCCTACCCAGTGGGCCACACCCACCCATTGAGCCACGCCCCCACGCCCTCCCTGAGGGCACCACGCTGAAGCGGTCCTGGCACTTTGTGATAAATAAGTGGGTTTTGGGTTGTGGTTTGGGCACTCGGTCTCTAAAAGGTTCGCTATCACTGGCTTAGCATAATGAGGAGGTCCAATCAACTGAGAAATGTTCCTAGTCTTCTGTTATTGTGAGCCAAAAACAATTCCTACCTCATTTTACAAGCTTTTAAGTATTCTCTTCAAACTGCTGGTTGCCAAATATCAGCTATATTGATCTGAGCTTTATTTGTATAGGAATGTTTTTTCTGCTTTTCTGAGTTTCCGCATACTTATGAAGGTCACATATAGCAACTTTTCTGCTTAGCAAAATGCATCATTGACAGGTTCTTCAATTTTGAACAGCAGAGTCACTCCTGTATTGAAGTCACTTTTGTGCGAATGAATCCATGTGAGAAACAGAATACTAATTATAATTTCATTTTAAGGAACTTTCTACATGTATGTAAAACCATGTTTCCTAATTGGAATATAAACTTTTAAAGGTAGAGTAAAATTTCAGAAAGCTACCTTTTGAGATAGCAGATTAGGTGTTGTTGCTAGTTTAATACGAAAATATTTGGGTACACCTCTCTCCTGCACTTTATTCCTGTGTCCTCTAGGCCATGATTCTCAGTCTTGACAACTTTAAGATGTGTAAACTTCAACTCCCAGAATTCCTCAGACTGCATGCTTCTACGAGTTGAAGTTCACATATTCTAAAGTTGCTCTAGGCCAGGGGTAGGCAACCTTGGCTCTTTTATGACTCGTGGACTTTAACTCCCGGAAAAGAGCCAAGGTTGCCTACCTCTTATCTAGGCAATCTAATCTCTTCTGAAATCAGGTCGACAACATCTAGTTCAGGGGTAGTCAACCTTGTCTCTTTTATGACTCGTGGACTTCAATTCCCAGAATTCCTGAGCCAGCTTAGCTGGCTCAGGAATTCTGGGAGTTGAAGTCGACGAGTCATAAAAGAGCCAAGGTTGACTGCCCCTGATCTAGTTTATACAATATAACTATTTCAACAGTTGCTGCTGTTCTTTAATGGGGCAGAAAAACCTCAGAAAAATTTGAGCACCACATAAGTGTGTTATTTGATTAAAGTGTACCAATAGTTTACATCCAATACATATCTGAATACAAAGGATAAATTTGTAAATATTGCTTTTTAACTTACTGAACTCATTGCAACTTCTAGCAGATCCAACTTGAAATTTGGCACAATTGCACTCTAACTCAGGGCTTTTCAACCAGTGGTACGGATACCACCTGTGGTACATTGGCACCTGGCAGGTGGTACGTGACCATCCTAGAAAAGTGGTAGCAGGGGAGGGGAATGAGCTGAACCAGTGGCAGCACCGCAGAAGCCTGAGCGAGAGATAGCTGGACCTGCAGGGCTGTCAGGGCTCAGGGGAAGCGCCAGGATCAGCGCCAGGCTCCAGCTGGAGCTCGGCACTGATCCTGGCGCTTCTGAGCTGAGAAGAAGCGCTGATCAGCTGGAATGTTGCAGCATCTCCAGGGTCTTGTGATTTACATTCAGATGCTTGGCAACTGATTCATATTTATGACCGTCAGTGTCCCAGGGTCATGTGAAGTGATCAAAACCTGCTGCAACCACCCATCAGACGGGGGGAATAAAACCCAAACACCCCCCCACCCCCGCTGCCAATCCTCAACAGAAATGCTCACAGCAATGAAAACCTCGGACAGGAGGAAAAGCGCAGCCGGGTGGGCAGACGTCTTGCTCGGCTGTGGCTTGGGGGGCACTTTTTTCAGTGCCATTGTAACTTCGAACAGTCACTAAGCAAACTGTTGTAAGTCGAGGACTCCCTGTACTTCATCACTTTTTTTCCTGTTTTTTTTGGGGGGGGGTCATCAAGTTTTTGACACCTTGCTAGGTGACTGATGGTACTCAGATGTTGCCGTACCCTAAAAGTGGTACAATGGGTGAAAAGGTTGAAAAGCCCTGCTCTAACTCATCAGTCTAGGAAGTGTCACTTTTATAAGTGATAACACTTTTGAAATGTAAATTATGACTAATTAAAAGTTAATGAATGTAGAAAGTGTAACCGTTTTCCCTTTCGTTCTTACATTACAGTATTTATCTTCACACTTGTTCATACACACTATGCAGTTGACTTCCATAAGTTTCCAAAGAAGCAATTAACAAATTAATTGCTGATGATTAGGGGTGAGAACTTGGTGTAGTGGTTACAAGACTGACTTCTAGTTCTGCCTTAGGCACCAAAGCAGCTGGGTAACTTTGGGTGAGCCATACCCTATCAGCCCTAGGAAGCAGGCAATGGCAAATCATTTCCAAAATCTTGCCAAGGGAACTGCAGAAACTTGTCCAGGCAGTCACCATGAGTCACCCATGACTCGAGGCACACACGTAGCAAAAAGATGATAATCAACAGTAGCTTGTAGTTATGGAGGTGCTCTCCCTAGTTCCATCATAATTCTTGTTAGGTATACGCATAATCATTGCTTCATGTTTTAATCTGTGTGAGTAGATGTCTCTCAAAAGGTGAGCCTGCTTCCTTGAAGAAAATGCTTTAGGAAGGTATATTTAGCACATTTTCTGGTTGGAATAACACAACGTCTATTTATATCCAGTCTGTTTGTATCCTCTCCCAAAGCACAATTTATATATCATTTTCCCAGCAGACCTCCAAAGTTCTCTCATGACATTTGAGCCGTGTTTTAAAAATAGTTTGAAAAATATACCAATGGGATTTTTTATCTGTAGGACTCTGCTGAATTTATTTCAGTCTGAACTGGAAGCTGAGAGCTGAATACACGGTATTTGCAATATACATATCAACATTTATTCATTTTTGAGGCTTAGATATGAAAAAGAGACGTCTGCATTTTTACATATTTATTGTATATGGTGAGAGTAGCATCCTCATTCCAATTAAAATTTAGTAATACCACTCATCTGTACCAATGCACATGTACTGAGAGACTCAACATTGGCTTTTAAAGTCCCAAGATTACATGTCAAAACCAAGCTTTCTTACATGTTAGAATAAAAAACAAAAACAAAAATGAAGTACTATAGCAGTATTTGGCAAGTGTGGACAATTCTTTAGAAGTAGCTAAAGGTCTACATCAATTAACTTTTTTCCTGAAAAATAACACTAATCAATGGAAGTAATTCACAGCAGTTTTTTTTTAAAAAAAAAACCCAACCAAAACTGTATCTGGATTATGGACACAGTAAGCTGATTTTACTAACATCAAGTGCTATAATGGTACTTATACTAACCCTATCTTTACTGAATACAATGTTCATTAAAATCTGTTATGATCCAGAATGTGCCCTTACTGAGCAAAGCAGAAAAAGATCAGCCAACCTCTGCATTTACTTACAAATACATTGCAGAAAAAACAGAGTCTGTCCTTTGTACACCTATATATCTGTCATTCACTTGAACCTAGTCTGCTATTGACCACTTTACACACGCACACTAAAACTGGAAGGAAAAAAAAATGAACAAAAGATTACACTAAAAATGCTCTAGTTACTTTGCCAATATACAATTGTTAATTGAAAAGGGAAAAGGAATGTAACAGAACAGGTATGAAGGAAGGTTTTGCAGACTTTTATTTTGTGCATGTTTGTCAGATGAAAAAGGTAATGTCTACAGCTTCTTTGGTGCCCAACAGCATACAAAAATGTAAAAGACTATTAACAAATAAAAACAAGCTCAACCTAAAGAAGTATTTCCAAGGTTAGTGCATATCATGACAATTCTGCTTATGAACACAGAAATCACTGCAGAAATAAATAGAATGTCTTGTAAAAAGCAGCAATTTCATATTTTTTTTGTAAACTTTTGTTTTTACAATACAGCACTGTTCAAAATAAAATCCAAAAGGGACTGGAGTTTATCATTGTGGCCAAGAGTTTGTACCTCCTCAGCTGTCTTGGTCCAGTTAATCCTTTTTTCTTTACCCTTTTTTTTTCTCGCTTCAAGTCCAATATGCAGCAGTCTTATAAAAGGTGCTTGGTTAGTTCGTCTAACTGTGAAGTGGCAAATTATAAAATTTCTTTCCTGCTCTCAAACACATACGGGTAGATCTGTTCCACTGCAGTGGCAACAGCCTTTACATTTGGCCCTACAAATAAACAGGGAAAAAAGGATCAGAAGAGACACAGAAACAAACCTTTGAAACTTTATTAGTGGAACTTAATACTTACAACAATTTTGTTCTCCAATATTCTAAAAGCGAACAATTCCAACACTACTGAAGCAGAAAATAAAACTAGCCTGAAAACATTAATTAAATTATACATCACACACATCCATATACATCCTAGATGGATCTTCACTCTTCTCACACTGAAGACTAGCTGTACCATAGACTCAGAAGAAAAAAGTGCAAATTCAGCAACTGATTTCCCAAAATTTGCTACTTGCACTTTATATTGTTATAAATTACCTGTTATCATCAACGGCCACCCAACACTCCAACTCAAATTAGACCTTAATATAACTATCTTATTTTTCTTCAATTATAAGTCCAGAAAATCTTCACTGGGATCCCAACATGTAAGAATCAAAGTCTTATTTCTTCTCTCCTCAGCAAGACTGAACAAAATTGTTACTTCCCCAGAGTTGCTAAAATATAAAAAGAAGAATGTTCCCATTGGTACAATGGGATATTTATTCTTAAAGTGTGCAAGTCACAAGCAGAAAGAAAGGGAGATGTAAGCCTTCTTCCATCATATGCTACATTCCTGATTAAAAAAATAAATAATTCCCCACGTGCTTGTAATTAAATTGGATGTGTAACTAAACTACTTCCTATGATATAAGAAGCCAGTTCTTTGTCAGTCAAATTAATTTATGGATGGACTACTGAATTTAATACCTGAAACACCTAATGGTGACAAATTAACTGATCTCACCCAATTGTAACTTAATTCCTGTTTTTATCTATTACATTTTAAAATTTCAATCTATTAAGACTTTCAGTCTAAACAAATTTAGTTTGACTGATTTCAGTCAAACGTCACTTGTCACACAGGATTGATGATACCATTTTAACGGAAAAACACACAAAATGTTATATGATTTACAAAAATGACCATACAGAATCTACACTTAAACATAAATTGTTTAAAAAC